TGGGGCGTGCTGAGTGCGATGGTGCTGAATCCTGTTGGAATGTCCAAGGTCTGCGGCCAAAATGTTTGCGTGCCCAAGGCTTTAATACACTCTCCAGAATATTTTCGCGATAATATTCGGCATTTATTCTGATGCCACGGTCGATTAATACGAACGGAGAGTGACCATTGGCTGTTATGGCGGCACACATCATCACCATGGCCGGCACTTGAGTTCTGGTGGCTCTTTGGCAAGTAAACCCGATCATTTTGTTTGTTTACAAACTGCTGGACAACGAATGTTTTCTTATCGGAGACGGAGAAACCCAAATTCGGCAGTTCACCACTTTCGGCCAAGCGAAGCAACTCTTTAGCTCTTTTGAGACTATTTTCTTTCTGTTGCGGTGTAAGTTCTTGCACTTTTTGGAATTCCAATGGCTTCGTCTCGAGCTTATGTTTCAATATTTGCCGAATGGAATATTGAGATATGTTTAGCTCAAGTGCTATTTTTCGGCCATTGCAACGCGGGTTTCGATCAAGTCGCTTCTTTACTTTTCGAACGATTTCTGCTGATGTTGCTTTTTTCTCTGTCCACTTCCTTGACATCGGGCTACGCTACCAGTATCACGGTAACGAGCGATGGTACGAAACACAGGAGATTTATTCACATTTAAATGCTGGAGTGCTCTAACGATAGCCAACGATAGCCTTGTGGTTTTCCAGCAAAATATAAATTAATCACACTATCACGCTTGAATTCCATCACGAATAACTTTTTTTCATAAAAATTCTCACCAAAATGCTTTTGTACGCTTGTAAACAATATAAAGAGCTATCACTGGAATATTTTTAACAGCTGTCGGACGAGTGGCTTAGAAATGTCAACAGCCTGATATTGGTTGCTGTTTTTTCATCTTACCCTGTATACATGCTAGTATCCTGTTAATAATTCAATAATTTTACTTTTTCATAATTCCTAAATGAATGCTTCACATTCTCTTTTAAATAACTAAAATTTTATTCAATTACTAAAATTTAATAATTTCAAACATGAAATTAAATTTAAAAATTATTCTCACGTTTCTAGTAATATGCCTCTATCCCTCCACCATTCGCCGCCTAATCATCTGTGCTAATATCTTTTCAATTATCAATTATGTTGGCCAAACCCAGCAACCAACCGACCAATCATTCAAACAACCAAACTAATTAAAAAGCTCCCATGGCCGGCCTCTAAACAACACAACACTAAACATTGTAATTATCAAAGGGTAAAACATCAAATTAACTTCCTCTCTCTCGGGCTCTTCCCCTCTCTCTCTCTCGCTCTCTGGCACTTTAAATTGATGGCACAAAATGAAATTCCAATGAAATCAAATTACACAATCAACTTTCATTGATTGTGTGAAATTGAACAAAATCCCTAAACAGGCCCTGTCGGGGGCTGAAATCAATTTAAATTTTGTAACAATATGGGTAGGAGGAGACATCACTCCTGCCCACATTCCTCTCTTCCTGTCGATACAACGTTGTGTTTCGGGAAAATTCCTAACAGCATAATAATTATGTTAATGATAATCAAAGATAATTATAATCAAAGGCATAGACAAACTAGACAAATTTGCTCGGAGCTCAGACGTTTAGAAAGCCCAACGAAGCGTCTGCGATTCAAATACTTCAAGGGTTATTGGCAGTTGTGTATGTGTACAAGCCTTCCGCCATAGCATGAGCAAAATTAATATTGTGCTTAGCACACAAGGTTAAGTGAATAATTGAGGAAAGTGTCTCCTAGGAAACTGTTTGTGAATAGTGTCCTTAATGAGGCACATTTTTCACAGCATTACAGTAATTTTCTTCTTAAGGCAAGATTTCGTTTTCAAAGGAGATTCCATGAACGGCATATGGTGCGTATGATTTATATTAATTTAGGGATGATTATGGAAACTGCTCTAAAACTATATCATTATTTAAAACATAAATAGATAAGATGGGTGCAATATGTTTACAAGACATGCATCTATAAACAAAATTTAAATTTGATTAAAACTATTTTAAGAATAAGCATTTTTGGGGTATTTAATTTTAAGGCTTTTTTTTCAAATAAAGAAAATGCACAGGATTTTAATATCATAATACTGAAATGTATATAGAAATGTATAGCAATAGGCCTCAGAAAAATGTAAAAGAAAATGCCTTAAAAAAGTTATAGAGATTTTGCTCCTGAATATATTTATAAAAGAGCAAAGTCTCCTGCCCCTGGGTGCGTATGACTGATATTAATGGATGAACCTTTCTGAAAATAGCTCTATATCTTTGGCTTCGATCATGATATGAAGAAAACATTCAAAGAGAGTTTTATTCAAGGCAATATAGCCTACAAATCTTAAGTCCCAAAAACCTATAATTAAAAGTAATGCGATAAATATAAATCAATTTCAATCAACAAATCAAAAAAAAAAACTAAAAACTAACCTAGTTTGAAATTTTCTTAGAATTAATCGAATCAAAGGATTTTGAAGCTATAAGTATAAAATGGAGCGGAATCAGCTTCAGTGATATGTTTTCCTTAAAAAATTGTAAAGTTTATACCAGTGAATGTATTTAACGAATTTATACTAGAGTCCCTGGGTGCGTATGACTGATATTAATTTATGAGACTTCCCAGAAATTCATCAATATCTTTGGTTTTAATTAACATATGGAAACTATTCAAACACTTTTACATTCAAAACATTATAACCTTCAAACTGAAGTCTACAAATGTGAATATTTGTAAAAGTCATCTATTCAAAATTTCATTTAAAATACAAAATTGCCGAAAATGTCCATTATTTTAAAATTTGTATTGCCAAGATATATATATTGAGAAATGTAAAAATTGGTTATGATACGTTTATAAACTTATTATTATTTCAAAATATAAATCAAAGGTTTCATTGGAATAAATAGACATGATTTATAACCAAAAATTTAAAAAGAGTTCGCTAAAAAAGGAAGCAAAATAGTAAAATTACATATTTTGGGTTTATTTTAATTCATCTTACTTATAAGATAGTGCAGAGGATCTGGAGGCCATGACTGTAAAACTTAATTAGATATGGAAAATAGAGTCCAGCATGATAAGTTTCTCTCAAAAATATTGTATATGTTCTGCTTCTGAACGTGTTTTTAAACGATTTTAATCTTGTGTACCAGGGTGCGTATGACTGATATTAATTAATGGGTGTTCGTGGTAAATGCCCTATATCTCTGCTTCTAAGCAAGATATGCACAAGCATCCAAAGGCAATTATATGCATAACAATACAGTCTATAAACTTAATGTTCAAAATGTTCTCAATAAAATGTAATTTAAGATATATGGAAGGAATAAGGAATGCGTTTTTTTAAATCGACCATAGTAATAAATGCATACATTTATTAGTATTCCAAATATACTTTCAAAGGTTCATTGAAATACGTTGACCAGCACAACAGCCACTTAAATAAGCCCCGCAATGAGTTTTTCTTTAAAATATTTGGAATTTTTTATTTTTATTGTACGAAATCATTTCAAATAGTGATTATAGATAATTGTCCCTCGGTCCATATAACTAATACAAAATTATAGGTTTCCATAGCAGTTTTCTATGTGTAGGATTATAATTAGTTTATGGAAAGCGTCTAAAGACAATTTTATTTAAAATGCAACTGTCTTTACTTAAGTCAGAAAATGTACAAAAAGTTAGGAAATTAATTATTTTGTGTTTGGCTATTTGAATTAATTTTTAATTTGATATTCGAACGTAAAAATATCTAGGAATAAAAAAATCAGTTGTAGTATTATGTAAATATTTATTATTATTCAAAATATTAATCGACATCTTTAGAGCGATATATTTGCTTGATTTTAGCAATAAATTACAACCAATTTTGATCAAGAAAAAATAGAAAAAAAATTGAAAATTTCTTGGATGTTGGTCTTTGAATGTATATTTAATAAAAGTTGTATTGCACGGAATTCTAAGGATGTAATATTTAAACTTAACTAGAAATTTAAAATATAGACCTCAGTGATGAGTTTCCGTTAAAAAATTCTAAAGTTTTAGTCCGAAATATTTTATAACAGTGATTTAGATTATGGTCCCAGGGTGCGTATGATTTATATTAACTTATGGGTGTTCCCAGAAAATAATATATATCTTCTGTTCTAATGGGGATATAAACTTCATCCAAAGACAATTATATTCCAAACAATACTGCCTTTCACTAAAGCCCCAAAAATTGTAAAATAAAACATTCATCAAGAGATATATTTTAATAAAATTTCATAGCAATAATAAAACCAATGAGTATTTTTTGGCTCTAAATTTTCATTTAAGCGATTTTTTTGCAAATCCCTACATTTGTCAGCATTAAAAATAAAATCCAAATTTATTTCTCCGATCAATAAGGACAACCCATTACAAAAACATTAAACTTATACATGCTGGGGACAAAGAAATGGAAAACATTTGCAATGACTCGAGGGTGCGTATAATTAATATTAATTAAGGAGTATCTTGCGTAATTGGTCGATAACTACGACATCAATCAGGATAAAAACGGGTTTCAAAGTGAATTATCTTCCTTATATTTATGGCTTCAAATAAAAAATATTATTTAGCCATTAAATTATCTCGAATAAAGAAAAATCCCTTAAAATCTCCTACATTGCAGATGGAAATTTAAATTAATTTCTATTGCCAATATTTAAGCCCTTTAAAAATCTCGAAGCTAAGTCATGCTGTGCAGCATGGTAAAGCCAAAGTTTCCAGCACACATCAACAATGCCATTGTCTGATGTGATTAGCCGCCAAACATCTAGCTAGTCAACCAGCCAGCCACCAATTCAGTCAAGCATCAGACATGTAAACCTAACTTTGATGGACAAACTCTTTTATTCTTTGGTGTTTTATTTTCTTTTTTCATCTTCTAACGTTTTTTTCTTTTTTTAACTGGAACCCATTTTTATTTTATTTTCTCTTGTTCTTCTTTGTTACAGGTCAAATTGGTTGATGTGGAAAAAGTGGAATGGTTAAATCGTCGCTCCTACAGTGCTATTGGCTTACTTCTGGGACGTGAGGGTAGAGTTTTATTACGATGCGATGAAGGCCTCGAAGATTGGTTCGAACTGTTGGAGGTAAGTGAATATAAATGTCCAGTGAAAGAGATACCCTACCATTATCTCTGTGAGAGTGTGTGTGTGTGTGTGTTTGTTTTTCCAAAGAATATTGTAAGTGTGTTTGTAACACGCTGTTACAAGTAACATTTTAGGCCGCTGAAGAGTCTTTTTGTTTAGCTACGCCTTCTGCTTGCCATCAATGGCTCTCGATTGTGGGACAATGAACTTGTTCAAAAACTGAAGGCTTACAACGAAAACCCCCCATGAAATGCCATTAAATTGCACCGTCACAGCGCACAGCACAGCAACATGGGGTGGCATAATGAAAATTTGCGGTCTATTCATGGTGATTGTCTATAAGAACCGTTGAGCCAAGAAACGTTTAAACGTGGGAAGTTGAAAAAATAAAAGAAAATTGCAAACTTGCAATTGTCAGTGATTTTTGAGGAGGGAGGGAGGGAAGGAGTATAGTTGTTATTTTATTTTAATGAAAATTAAGATTGTGATAATCTTAAAGTTTAACTAATCGAAAACTATGTAGAATGAACTTCGTTTCGTTACGGTTGAAAACTTAATTTTGCATAGATTCTAATAATGGGGGAATACTCCAGACTTAAGCAATCAAAAAAAGCTTTCGAAAAAGTTTAAATTATCATTAAGAGCGAAAGGTGTCGTATGCGTAACGACAACACTTATACGTTAGGTGGTACCATAATGGATATTTTTGGTGTGGCTTTAAATTGGATCTGAGAGGAGGTAATTGAATGAAAAATGGATTAAAGAAAAATGAAAGAGATCTTAACAAATTGAATAAGTTGTTTCAATAATTTTCAAAATTTAAAAATAATAAATAATCAGGACTGTGGCTTAATAGTTTTAAGGGTTAAACCTTAAAAACTATTTGAAATTGAAATTTGGGGTAGAATATTTTTTTTTTTTTTTTTTTTTTTGACCATTTCCATCTAAAATAAAATTCTATGTTACTTTTATGCGCTAACTCAAAAAAGGCACAGGAAAAGAAAAATTAACCAAAAATGGAAATATTGTAGGTTTATTTTTTGGGAACATATATGCCAACTGAAATCTTAGTTATTTACGGTACCGATTAAGAATATAAATTTCTTCTGGTCGGAGACTCATTATGAAATTCGATATAGAATATTTCTTCCTTTGACACTTTCTCCAAAAAATGAAGATTGAAGGGAGATTTTGACATAGAATGAAAACGTGTCAAACAAGCAGTAAAAAAGGTAGACACACAATTTCCACCTGTTATAGGTAAATTTTAAATGGAATTTTCTAAAAAGTCATTTAACCTACATATAAAGTTTGTTCTAAGATTCATAGTGAAAAATTTATGTAGAATATTCTGTCTTTTGACACTTTCTAGGTAAAACGAAATTTTACGCTACTTTTAGGCGTCGTTTCGAAAAAAAAGAGAAATTTAACAAAATATTAGAAAATATTTTCGTTTATTTTAGAAAAAGAAGTGCAAACAGAAACTGATATTTTTTAAGGAAAATATTAAGTGTATACTTTTCGATTGGTCAGAGACTCATAATGAAATTTTATATAGAATATTTCCTCCTTTGACTCTTTCACAAAAAAAATAAGTATAAAGGGAGATTTTGACTTAGAATGGGAACGCCTTAAATTAGTACTATTTTTTTTAGCGTTCACTTGTAATATGTAAATTTTGAATTTAATTTTCTTAAAAACCACTAAACCTAGATATATACTTTATTCTGAGTTTTATTATGAAATTAGCAGTAAAAAACCTAAGCACATTATTTTCACTTGTAATATATAAAATTCGTATGTGATTCTAATAAAAACTATTAGAGCTAGACATATGGTTTATTCCGAGATTTATGGAGAAATTTCCTGTAGAATATTTCTTTCTTTGACACTATCTCCAAAAAATAATATATAAAAGGGAGATTTTGACTAAGAATGGAAATGTGTTGAAGTAGAAGTGAACACACATTTTCCACTTGTTATAGGTAAATTTTGAATGGAATTTTCTAAAAAGCTATTGAACTTACATATATAGTTTGTTCTGAGATTCATAATGTGTAGAATATTTCATCTATTGGCATTTTCTACTTAAAACGGTATTTTATGTTACTTTTAGGCGTCATGTCGAAAAAAGGCCAAGGAAAAAATTATCAAAACAATTATAATTTTTTCGATATTTTTTGGCACCATTGATGCAATTGACACAATGAAAATATAAATGAAATTTGATAAGGAATATTTTTTTCTTGACGTCTTCCTTCTAAAATCAAGCTTTGTTAGAGAATTCTGCATAAACTCAAAAAAAGCCAAGGAAAATGTGTTTCAAAATAATTAAAAAATATTTTCGCTTTTTTGGCGAGATTGATGCAAGTATTTTCTCGATATACAATAAAAATATAGCTTTTTTCTTCTTGGTCACTTACAGTGAAATTTGATGAAGAATATTATTGTCTTTGACGACATCCTTCTGAAATGCTTCCTTGTGAGAGAATTCTGCATAAACTCGAAAAAAGCTGAGGAAAATTTGTGAAAAATGCAAAAATATTTTCTAGTTTTTTTGGCAATATTGATGCAAGTATTTTTTTGATATACAGTGGAATTCCAGTTTACTTTTCTTCAGTGACTTAAGTAAAATTTTATAAGGAATAATTTTCTCCTTGAAATCTTCCTTTTAAAATCATGCTTTGTCGCAGAATTCTGTATAAACTTGAAAACAGTAATGAAATTTTTTTTAAAAAACTTGGAATTTTTTTCGCTTTTTTGGCAACATTAATGCTTTTTTTTTTTTTTTTTTTGATGTACAATGGAAGTAGAGATTTAAATTTTTCAGTAAATTATAATGAAATTTGATGGAGATTTTTTTTGGTTTTTGACATCATCCTTCTAAAAGCTGAAGAAAATTTGTTGAAAAATAATCCCGAAATATTATTGTGTTTTTGGGCAACATTGATTAAATTGTATTCTTGTTGAACAATGAAAATATAGATTTCTTCTCCTTGGTGACTTATAGTGAAATTTTATAAGGAATAATTTTCTCCTTAACATCTTCCTTCTAAAATCATGCTTTGTTGAAAAATGCTGCATAATCTTGAAAAAATTTGAGGAAAAATTTTTGAAAAAATTCAGAAATATTTTCGTGTTTTTTTTTTTTTTTTTTTTTTTTTTTTTGGCAACTTTGGGGCAATTATTTTCTTGATACCCATTGGAAATAGAGATTACTTTCCTTTAGTGACTTATAGTGAAATTTGATGAAAAACGTTTTTGTCCTCAACGTCAACCTTCTAAAATGATGCTTTGTTGGATAATTTTGCATAAGTTCGAAAAAATCAACGAAATTCAAGGAATCTTAATCCGAAAATGTCAAGATTTCTCTAAAACGTTTGAAAAAACGCAATAAATCATCGTCAGATTCTTTGCTGGTTCTTCTTCTGTCTCTAATAATAATACACAATAAATCATAGCTAGATTCTTCGCGAGTTTATCTAAAAAATTCGTCTCTAAGTCAATAAAATTCAGTTCTCATAGTTTTTCAAAAATTGTACTTGTAATATTGCTTTCAAAAAATTAATAATTTAGCTCAGAAAGATCCTCAGATATATTCACTCCATTTTTTAGTTTTCATAAAAATTTGTAATGAAATTTAGATTGCGTATACATTACCACAACACTCATACGCAATGGGGTATACCTTTAAATACTTTTAAATTCTCTAATAAGTGCTTTTGTTTCCTTTTCAGTACATTGATCCATTTCTAATTATTTTTTTTTTCTTTTTTTTTAGGAATGTACCATTACCTCCAAGGAACGTCGTCGTGCCCTGAAAATAGCCCAAGGTCCCAGATCCCGAGCCTCCTTGGCTGCACCCGTCTCACATGCTTCACTACAATCGAATCATTTCGGTTTGGGTGGTACCTATTCGAGTGCTTTGGACGATTGGTTGATGACCAATGGCAGTGGTATGGGTGTTGGACGTGGCCAAAAACTGGTGACCAACAGTATGTGTGGTTATGGTGGTAACAATCCATTCCTCTTCTCGGACTCGGTACCCGATCTGAGTGCCCTAAATAATGAAAATCATAATCACATCAGTGGTATGTCCACCAATCATTCAACCCCGCAGAAGATACCCTATTCGGCTGCGGCCGCGGCCAGCGGTAACAATAGTCGTTACTCGAATGGTTACTCGTCGCAGAATTCATCGTTTTCGAATTGCAATGGCTTGTACGGTTCACCCAGGCGTATATTCATCAACAGCAGTTTCGGTTCGACTCACATTGTCGACGAGGAGGCTGAGGATGGTGAAGTTGAGCTAAGACGTCCACGCATTTTCCGCCATTTGAGTACGGAAAATGGTAACGAATTGGATCGTGATTGGTTGTATCGCAAGCCAAGGGCACCCACAGATATGAGACATTCAGGTAAGTTTAGAACATTTGGTATTTTATAAAAATATTTAACGAATAAATCTATTTTTGTGTTGCAGTCCAACCCATGTTGCCTACCCACAATAACTCGAACAACAGCTCCAGCAAGTTGATTACCACAGACTTGGATTATTCCGCCCATGACAGTGGCCTTGATACCCCACCCTCAACACATCGTCCGTCCAGTTATCGTGAAGCCCCCAACCAACATCAACCCTCTCCCCGTGACTCCACCGAAACCTCGGTCAGTTCATCGCGTGGCACAATGCTTAACTCTCCAGGTGGCAGTTTTCGTGCCAAACACTTGCAACAAGTCAGCAATTTGAATCAGGTCAATGCCCTGCATGGTTCACGTTATAGCGTACAGGAACGTATCCTCAAGATACGCAATGAGGAGGATCGTTGTGCCTCCATTAAGTCAGGCAATCGTGCCAATATGAACTCGGAAATGTATGATCCAAATCAGAATCGTTATTATAAGAATGGCAACCAATCGCCGGTGGCATCGTTGACACCGCAACACACACCGGTCAAGATGCAACATCTGCATCCTCAAATGAATGGAAATAATGGCAATAATAACGGTACTCTGAATGGTAATATGCCTAATGGTTCGGCCATATTCCGGGAACGTTATCAACATCCAGCCTTGGCGGCCATCATCAATGAGGCTCAGGGTATGAAGTTCAGAGGTAGGTTGCTTCTTGATGATGATTAATGGTTAATGCGAACTTTTTGTATTTGGTGGAATGGAATTTTTTGCATGAAAATGGATTTTTTTCTTTTGTGTTTAAAAAAATTTAATGGACATGGGGAATTTTTGGACAAAGGCAGGGGTTATATTTAAGACGTTTAACTACAGGAAAACTCCATCAGATTATGAAAGTAAAAATAGAAGACACGTGTATCGGCATTTTTAAAGTTTATAACCCAAAGTAACCTAAATAGAGGGACAATATCCAGCTTTTTCCTCAGTTTCAAAAATATAGGAATTAGATTCACATACCAACAAATGAACTGAAAAATCCAAGCTAAAGGTAAAAATAGACCAGTAAAGAAAGTCTTAAAGTCGGGCTGGGCCGACTTTATGATACCCTACACCACTTTGCTAATTTTGTAGAGCTCCACATAACCATTATAAGATTTTATGGGAGAATTTGATCATACACGCTATGATTATAATTGTAATTTAAAGTTCAAAGGACTAAATATGCCGAAACATTTGTATCTTTTAAATTCGGAATTGTATTGTCCATTTGGTGCACAATTAATTTGAAATCGGATAAAGATATATATGGAAGCTATATCCAAATCTGAACCGATCTCGATAAAATTTGGCAAAGATATTTCTGAGCTGTATTTGATATATTTCCCTGAATATCGTTGTTACGGAGTGCATGTTACAAATATGACAAATCGGATGAACAGTATATATGGGACCTATAGCTATATCTGAACCGATCTTCACCAAATTTGACATACTAGCTTCTAGACTCAATTCGGTCTTAAGTGCCAAATTCCATCCCATTTGGACAAATATTAGACGTTTGGTGCACAATAAATGGTAAATCGGACGAAGTTATATATGGGAGCTATATCCAAATCTGAACCGATCTCGATAAAATTTCGCAAATGTATTTCTGAGCTGTATTTGATATATTTCCCCAAATATTGTTGTCGCAGAGTGCATATTACGGCGGCGGTGGACAAAAATAACAAATCGGATGAACAATATATATGGGAGCTATAGCTATATCTGAACCGATTTCGATCAAACTTGGCATACATATTTTCAGGCCTAATTTGGGTGTATATGTAAAATTCCATACAATTCGGGCTGATATTACACGTTTGGTGCACAATAAAAGGCAAATCGGACGAAGATATATATGGGAGCTATATCTAAATTTTGACCGATTATCTCCAATTTCAATAGGGTTCGTCCTTGGGCCAAACAAAAGATCTGTGCAAAATTTCATCTGGATCGGGCAATAAATGCGACCTGTACTTTGTTTACAAAAATACATGGACAGACGGACAGACGGACGGACGGACGGACATGCATAAATCGACTCAGAATGTGATTCTATGCAGATCATCAAAAGGAACTATGGGTCTAACTCGTTTCCTTCTGCCTGTTACAAACAAATGCACAAAGACATAATACCCTGACCACCTTGTGGTGTAGGGTATAAAGACAGTTTTATTGGCGTTTTGAAAGTTTATATTGTAAAAAATCTATATAGAGAGGGCAATTTCCATATTTTTTAAAATTTCCAGAAAAAACTTTTTTGAAATCCCTCAAAATTTTTGTTCCTAGCATTTTTTCTAATAAGTACTCAAAATACGAAAAACAGGAGTGAAATTAAATTGAAAATATGACGAAAAAAGTTTAATTTATTTAAAATTGTATCCATATATAGGCACTACAGCAAAGAATAGACTGGCATGACCACTTTCCATATCAATAACTCGTGAAGTATTTCAAAGCTCCCTATAAATGTTCAAAGCTCTACATTCTATGTTGCGAAATATATCTCAAAATAGTAAGCTCCCTTTGTATATGGTCAAGGCTACATAAAGGTCTTAAAAAATGTTAAGCCTAAGTACGCGAAACTTTTTTTGTTTTTACTCTACAAACCGAGCATTAATAAATCACAATCCGGACTGGTTATTGAATAAAGAAATTATAAGAAATGTTGCCCTAAGTTCGGCAATAGCAATATTAAAAACTGTTTTTTTTTTTATAAACCAACATTGATGGTACTTTTATGTAATACAGGGTGAGATAAAAAACTGCACCAAAGTCCAACGCCATAATTTTTAAATTTTTTTAAAGTCATTGAATGAAAGCACAAAATTTCGGAAATAGCATCAAATTTTAGAATAAGTTTAGATTTGTTCGAATTGTTCACGTTTGACACAAATTATGGCCTTCAAACGGCCAATAAAACCGTCACACGCTGCCCGAATGTTGTTCTGCGGTATTTTGGCCCATTCCCGTCGAAGCGCTTGCTTGAGGTGAGTGCGTTGATGCTGAGTCCTGTTGAAATGTCCAAGGTCTGCGGCCAAAATCTATGCGTGCCCAAGGCTTTAATACACCCTCCAGAATATTTTCGCGATAATATTCGGCATTTATTCTAAAGCCACAGTCGATTAAAAGAGGCGGAGAGCGACCATCGGCTGTTATGGCGGCCCACGCCATCACCATGGCCGGTGCTTGAGTTCTGGTGGCCAACCGAAGGTGCACATTTTCAGCTGGCAAGTAAACGCGATAATTTTCTTTGTTTACAAACTGCTGGACAACGAATGTTTTTTGTCATCGGAGAAAACCAAATTCGGCAGTTCACCACTTTCGGCCAAGCGAAGCAACTCTTTAGCTCTTTTAAGTTTATTTTCTTTCTGTCGCAGTGTAAGTTCTTGCACTTTGTGGAATTTCAATGGCTTTACCCCGAGCTCATTTTTCAATGCTTGACGAATGGAATATTCCGATATGTTCAGCTCACGAGCCATTTCGCGGCCACTGCGACGTGGGTTTCGATCAGGTCGCTTCTTTACTTTTCGAACCATTTCTGCTGATGTTGCTGTTTTCTTCCGCCCACTTCCTTGACGTCGAGCTACGCTACCAGTATCACGGTAACGAGCGATGGTACGAGACACAAAAGGTTTATTCTTCATCCTCTAAAATGACTTCTAAGGAAGTGTTTTGCATAAGCTCACATATAGTACAGCTTTAAATGAGATTTAAAAATGTATCTGAATTCCTGAAGCTTTGATAAGGTTTGGACATTTGATGTCTTCTGGAACCTATAGTTGAATTTTATGACAAATAAATTTGTAGAATATTTCGACTTGCTATGATGTCGTTAAAGGGAGTTTTTAACTAATTTTTGAAAAAAAGGACCAAATAGGCCCTTTTGGTGACTAAAAAAGTGCGACATATTGATATCAATAATATTTCCGAAGACCCTATATACCTAAAATGCAAGAATTTCAAGGAATCTTAATACGGACATTTAAAAGATTCCGGAGAGACGGGTAGAGTTTGAGGTTATTTAGCAATGTAGACGTTCAAAATACCTATACACGGGTCTTCTGCTTTAGATCTGATTTCGTAATCTGCTAGATTTGTTCATATTTTTTTACAGTGCAAATAAACAAATTGAATTATGATAATCTTGTGGCGTATGATTAACGACAACAGGTATACGCACTATAATGCTTAAGTTCCTGGAGTTTTGTTTAGATTTAAACTTTCAATGTCTTTCGATTTTGACTTGCTGCGCTTACGTTTGAATTAAGTTTTTAAACATATTTATTTCAAGGACTCGCTAGAGGGTTAACATTTGTTTGTACCCAAATAATCTTCGTGTTATTATCAGTAATATTACGGAAGACACAAATTACCTAAAGGCAGCAGACTCCAAAAAATCGTAATCCGAAAACGTTTGAAAATGTGGCAATAGTGCCAAAAGGAGGGGCAACATTTGTATCTTACTTTGTGATGTTAACATTCAAAATACCGACACACGTGTCTTCTATTTTTCAGCACGACTTTCATAATCTGCTGAATTTTTCCCAGCAATTATTTTTTATAGTGTTGTACAGGGTTATTTAGGTAAAAGCTAATTATGAAAGCACCTACACTTTTTTTGTAATTATCGAATTACAATTAAAATTATTCAAATTACAAATGGAATGTTGCGAATTAAATAAAAAATTATCCAAAATACAACTGAGAAAAGGTGTAGTTTTTGGGTGATTGGTGTCGTATGATTATTGTCGTTAGTTATACGCCGCTTGATCTTCAATAAATTGAGCCGTATTCGTTAAAAACGTGTTTTGATAAAGCAAAATACCCATTTTTGATTTATTTATTTGGGAAATAATGACTTTTTTCGGACGCATGACTAAATAATTATATGTTTATTTATAAGCCACGTTAAATACCGAATTGTAACTAATAAAACATTTTTTTCTTTTTTATTTGTTTCTTTATATATTTTATGATTGAATTCTTAAACCCAATTAACCGCATGCCTGCACATCCAAACAAACAAAAAAAAAACCTGAATGACAATAAATCTAAAAAAATGTCAAAATACCACACCCATAATCCAAAAAAAATGCACTTTACACAAACTCCTGAATCCCAACAAAAAACAAACAACAACATTTCACAATGCATAGCAGAAGCATGAATCACGGCCACAGTTAAATAATTAATACGCAAAATGGATACAACAAAACGAGAATGCAACCTAACAACAAGAACAACAACAACTACACCAAAAACAACCCAACTACAACAACAAATTACTAAAAAAAATGGCGACAAATTAACAACATTATTCCAATTTGAATTTCATTTCAAAGCATCCCAAACTCCTTTGTTCTTTTTTCCAATCTCCAGATCGTTCATATTCCGATTGCCAACAAATGCCACCGAGGCGCAGTGTCAACAACAATCCATCACCGTTGACCACCCGGCGCAATCATGTTAATCCAATATTTGGCACCCCCACCCGGGTATAGCGGCTAAAGATCTAAAACGATGGGAAAATAAATGAAGCAACTGACTACAAGGAGAGAGAGCTAACAATTGATTGAAACAATTTGTTTGGAAAACCCAAAAACAAACAAATTAAGGAAATTAATAAATTAAAAAAAAAAAAAAAACTAAAAACACATTGGAAATAAAACAGGTTTAGTAAAATATTATTCGAAAATAAAATTAAATTTAAATGAATAGATGAAAATAATTTACATTAAAATATTGAAAACTAAATGGAAAAATTAATTAATTAACAAACTTATGCTGCTGATTAGCTATAACTCTTAGTATACATCTACATATGAACCATATACGTAAATATCCAGCTTTTTGATATGATACAAGAACTAGAAATGAAAATAACAACAACAAAAAATTAAAAACAATTTATTACACAAAAAAATGATTACTAGAATTACACAGTGCTGCATAAAAAATCAACTGAAGACATTAATTGTGCTTAAATTTAAATTTACTTCCGAAGGTGAAATATTCCATAGCAAAGTGATCAAATATAAGAAAATTTTAATGTGGAGTGTTTGTAATGAACATTTTTTCAAGATAGTTTATGACAAATTCAACAATTTTTAGAAAAAAAAAATAAATAAAAAATCAGAACAAAAGTCCAATATAAAAATCACTTTTTAGAGCTCGAAATATAAAAAAAGCTCTGCTAATGAAGCTTGAATGTGAACTCAAAATAAATTTGCACAAAAGATGACAAATATTAAATACAGTCTTCAGATAAAAAGTCCTAAAAATTCTGTACGAGTTATATGATATCCAAAAGAATATATTTTAAAAAAATAATGTCTTAATATGAACTCAAAAATTATTCGAACACAATTATACATGTTTGCGTATTAGTATTGTCAGCAATCATACGCCGCCATGAATGACAAATGCACTACTTTCAAAAAAAAGTAGCAAATAAAGAGCTTCAAATTTTAGTGACAAAGAATAGATATGAAAAAATTATAATATAAAAGCAAAATTTTAGAGCTCGAAATTTAAAAAAAATGCTCAAATAATGAAGTTTGAATACGAACTCAAACTGAATTTTAAAAAATAAAAATGATAGCCTTCAGACAGAGAGTCCTAAAAATGTGGGTTATATGATATTTCAAAAGGATATATCGCAAGCCTTGTCATTTCTTGATATGAAATCAAGATTGATCGGAATACAATGAAATTTTGTTTGCGTATTAGTTTTGTCAGCACTCATACGCCACCATGAACCAATGTAAATTCTATAAACTCATTAGGAAGCGGATTCATTTCGTGCCCATTTTTGACTAAATTTGAAACATTTTAAACGAATGGATTAAAAATACAGACTCTTATATAAAAAGAAAAAATGATTCCAATGAAATATATTGACATATATGTACTCCGAGCACTCATACGAGAACCTATGTCTAAAATTATATGTGAATATCTAAATATGTAAATACTAATAATGCTTGAACTGTTAATGCATTAAAAATACTAAATGCAGTCTTCAGATAATGAATCATAAAAATTCTGTACCTTAATTTCAAGAGAAAAATCTCCTGATAACAACTCAAAATTGATTCGAATACAAGGAATATTTTTGCGTATTACTGTTGTTAGCACTCATTCGCTACCATGAACCAATACCAAGATTGACAAAATTAATTAATTACGTATTCCAATTTGAAACTTAAAAAAATTGATTCGAATAGAATGGCATATCTTTGGGTGTTAGTATTGTCAGCGCTCATACGCCACCATGAACCAATATCTGAGAATTATAGATTTAAAAAATACAGATTTTTTATATGTTATTTTTTATCAATCTTAAATTTATTGTTTCAAATTTAAGCCCTCTTAAACAAATAACTAGTAGAAAAAACTCAGGATATTAAATATTGAAAATGGGATATGTTAACGTATAAGTGTTGCCAATACTCATACGTTACTATTTATACATTTAAGTGCATTAATTATTCCAAATGCTGACTAACAATTAACCAAATTTAAGCTCCTTAAACCAAATTTCTGGTTAGAGATTCCGGATAAAAAGTTGTTTGAAGTTCCTGATTTACTTGGACCATGGTTGTGTTTTAAGCCCGCTTAAATGACATTACAGATCAATGTTAAATTAACAAAAAAAACTTAGATTTTCCATTCCGAATAAAATATTGAAAATTAAAAATTATGACGCATAAGTATTGCCAATACTCATACGTTACCATTCGCCAGTCTTAAATGCATTGTCAGTTGTCAATTTGGAGCCGCATAAATCAAAATACTGATTAGAGATCAGAATGAAATATTGTACCAAAATGTAAGGCGGCGTATTAGTAATGTTAACATTCATACGTCACCATTACTTAAATTAAATGTTTCTATTCTCCTAAAATTAAAAAGTTATGAACCCCTTAGCTCAAATTAAATTTGGCAGATGTTATTCTATTAAAAAACACCTTCAATTTTCCATTGAAAGCTAATTTCAATTTATAAGTGCCGAGTCAATTTTGAGGTCCGTAAATCCAATTTCCGTTAAAAATTTCTCATGTGGTGAGGTATAATTATATTCAATATTCATACGTCATCATAACGTATGAGTGCTGGCAGTACTTATACGCCGACCATGATTTTAAATCAGTCTTAACTGGAGAGCTAATTTTCAACAATTTTTTGTAACAACTTAAATCCAATTATTATACAATACAGGGCCGAAAACAATTCCAAATTCTCTTAATAAAATAAAAATCCATAATTTATTTGAGAACTAGATGACAGTTGCCGTATATATATTGTCAATATTCATACGCCATATATCAATATTACAATTTTTTAAAGTGTCTTAACTTGATTTACTTTTATTTTCATCAATTATTAAACGAAGCAGAAAATTGATGAAAATCCGTACAATGTTTTCCAATAAAAAAAATTACGACAATCCGAAATTTTTTAAAAAAAATTCTTCTACAATTGTCTACAAATAACCAATGCACTTAGATACCCTTTGCTTGGATCTTTATGCCAATACCATACTACAAACCCTAGATAAGTGAAAGTAAGTCATTAAATTACTCCAGACATCAAAATCTGTTTCTTTGGGTTATAATGGCGTATACGTATTGTCAATATTCATACGCCCTGAGCGACTGAATATTTGTTCTCTTTTTAATGGTGGCTTTCAACACCATATATCATCAGACAGCAAAAGCTGCTTCTTTGAGTTATAATGGCGTATAAGTATTGTCAATATTCATGCGCCATGATAGACTGAATTGTTTTTTCCCTCTTTTTATTGGTGGGTTTGAACACAATATAGGAGAGCAAGAATTAAATGTTAAATCTCATTTCTAAACATTTATTTCGGTTTTTTATTCAAGTTCACAGAAAAAAGACTTCATTTGTCATAGCCTAACATGTTGTGGCTATATATTCGACTGAAAACTTTATTAAAAAAAATACAAATAATTTTTCGGACGAGCTCGCAAAACAAAAAAAAAGTTTCATTTGTCATAACCTAACTTTTTGAGATTATACTTTGTACTGACAAATCGATCGAGCGAGGCAAAGAGATTTTGCTGAGCTCACTCTAGAATGTCCCTTCGGAAGTGAAAAAATCATGTTCTTATGGCCGTAGCACTAACCCCTGGTCCTTATTACTTTTACTACTATTACTACTACCACTACAACTACTTTAGGCATCACTTAATTTAGCAATAATCTTTTATCTATGTAACGAAATGTAGTAGTGTGAGAAAAAAACAAAAACTATTAAAAAAACAACAACGCAAACAAACAACTGTGAACTTTATATAGGAGACATTCTTTCTAGGCATTATTATTATATTTTTTTTTAATTACTACTATAAATATATGTTTTTTAATTTCAAAAAAAAAAAATAATAAAATTAAATTAAATAAATTTTGATTAATAGAAAAAAATTAGATACTGATTTTTTGAAATTTTCTTTTTCATTTTTTAATATAAAATATATTAAACTAATATTGTTTTAAATAAATAAAATACTCCAATTTCTTTGAAATATAAAATTAAAATTAATAAAAAATAACACCAATAATTTAGTAATTAAAAAAAACAAAAGAATTGTTATGAAACACCAAATATTATTCTTTAAATATTAATAATGATAAAATAAAAATTTAAAAAAAAATATATAAAACAATATTAAAATCAATCTTAAAACTAAAACTTAAATTCCCAATTAAGTTCTCTTTATATGTTTCCCCCCTTAACCAGAGCTTCCCTTATCAACTGTTTTCATATTTTTAGAAAAAATATTCTTATTATTTTTAGTTTTGTTATATTTTAATTAAATTTTTTTACCCAATAAAATTTCGAAGACATTGTAATTTTTTCATTTTGGTTTTCTTTTTGTGATCCACACTTTACAACCATTACCAGTTGTTATTTTATTCTATGTGTTTTTTTTTTTTTTTTTTTCATTATAAATTTTCGTTATTACAATGACATCTACATATGTTGTGGTTTTAGTGGTTAACAAACAAAAAAATCGTAAACAAAATATATTAACTAAATATGTAGTTGAACAAGAAAAACAGCAACAACAACAACACTTAGTATTCTTTAGTAATAATCATATACAATGATGATAATTATAATTATTATTATAATTAAGATAAAAAGAAAAAAATAAACAATTGGAGCATTTGATGTATGTAATAATGAAGTCAACAAATAAAGTGAAATCGCAAATATACAAAAATATTGATGTTATATATATTTTTTTAATCTTATGGTAAGTATGAAAGGACAGGTCTGTAGTTCGTAAATATGAGGGATATTTATATGAGGGCTATGAGGAGCGATAAAGTCCACTTTTAACATGAATCACCCAATTTAAATCCATTTTCAATTTCACACATGTGCACTCTATCGTGATTTCAACAGACAGACAGTAGGCCATTGCAAAGTTAATAAAGAATTACTTGTAGAACTAGAAGATAATATTTATTACATATTTTCATTGATACATAAAGTATGCATTACCAAGTTGGAAGTAATCGGTCAAATTTAGAATAAATTCAGTACTCTGTTCGTGAAAAATGAAATATATTTTTTCAAAATTTCTATAATTTTTGGTTGAGATACCAGAATAAACGGACAAACATATCACATTTTCACACTCTATTCAAAACAGTCAGAAATATTGAGATGTTTTAAGAAAATGGGCACGAATTTCGAATTTTTGAGAGTTTTTTTGTATTTTAAATGCTGACCCTTGGACGAAGTGCGACGAGAAGTAGGCGGAGTCTAGACATAGTGTTGGCAAATATATCACAATGTGAGAAATTTGCTGAAACTCATGGAATAATTTCTCATTAAAATTTTGACTTTTGATTCTTTTCTCGATTCTCTTATTTTTTATACCCTCAGCCATATGGATACAGAGGGTATATATCATTTGATACGGTCAAAACGTTCCAAGTCGAAATAACGGTTTTAGACCTTAGGTCTCTTTGGACCACATCCGTTTCAGAACATTTGGAGTCGATCT